TAGAGAGTTGGAAGAAGAAGAGGCAGAGATCAATAAAGACCCATGGGTGAGGAGGTGCTGTGTGGAGGCCTAAGGAAGACATGTTTAGGGAGGGAGCTCTCCATGGCTAGACAGAGTGAGATGGGGTGGAAGGACTGACTGCTAGATTTGGCTAGTTGGAGGCCACTGAGTGGAGTGAGGAGAAGGAGGAGACAGACATACAAAGCTCTTAGAGGAATTTTTGTCAGTGGTAGGTACTCAGAAAAGGAGGTGGTGTCAAGAGAGAATTTAAAAGGGGGATAAATGAACATATTCTAACATATTTGCAGAAAGGGAAATTGTGGGACATAGTCTGGAGCATAGTCTGGAGTAGGAACAAGGTGATGAATCCACTGTCCAAGTGGAACAGGTGTACCAGGCACAGGAGTGCTTCATCCCTGTTGTAGGGGAGAAGGCAGAGTGACGGGGCACGTGTGCTGGGAAGGTACAGAGGTGGTGGTGAGGGGATGAGCTGGTGTTGGCCTCTTGTTTCTAGTCCCCAGGGACCTTGGATGCCTGGCAAAGCTTTAGGGTTGGGAGAATGTGGGTTGGAGTTATGAGGAAAGAGGAGGTATGAGCCAGTCATCTTGGAGAACTGGGCTAAAGTTTGAGGAAAGTGCAGGATTTCTTAGAAATGCTGGGTGCCCACTTAAGCTTTGCGGTCAGATGTTTAAATTAAAGGTCAGTCGGTCCAGTTGTGTGATTCTCCAGATCCCAGCAACAGGTGCCTCCTGGAGAGGGTCTTGCTAGGCAAGTACTAGAGAGAGGTACTCAAAGCAAGGGGTAAGGGACATTTGAAATCTGTGACTACTGGGGTCTGGAGCATCTAAGCTAGAGAGGAGAAGAGAGGCTGTGCAGGGAGGTGATGGGCAGTGAACAGTGGTGGGTCAAGGGATGGGGCAAAAGGTTTACCAGAGTAAGAACCAGATTGAGTGAGCTAGATAGCTAGGAGATGAGGAAGTCCTTGATACAGACAAGGTGTCGGAGGTGAGGCTTATGTGGGAGGTTTGGTGGGTGGAGGAAAAGCTTGTTGGAAGCATGAGGTCAAATAATTGAGAGGTCAGGTATGTTGGCTGTGAAGTCCCAAGAGTGATGATAAATGTGCTGGTGGAGAGAAAGGAAGGATGCAGAGACTATGATGGTCCAGGAAGGATGGGGAATAACCAAGTGTCTTGTTTGTGCTGAAATCGTCTCGGCTCCCTCAAACCTGCTCCTCACCGGGGCTCTGGACTCAATAAATGGCACTGTCACCCAGAGCCAGAAATCTGTCACTTTGATTCCTGCCTGTACTTGGTCCCCACACCCAACCAAATTGCCAAATCTTTCTGATTCTATCTCATAAAAACCCAGCTACTTCTTTCCATCTACACTGAGCACACCCTGCCCTGTTGAGGCCCTTGTGGTTTCTGACTATTGCATCACATTCCAAACAGGTGGCCCTGCCTCCTTTACTCCACACTGCAACCACAGGCATCACCTCTGTGATAGATCTTCTCAGGGACTTGTTACTGTGAAGGATGAAATTCAGCATCATTAACAGAGATCTCCAAAGAAAGCATTGCATGATCTCCCCCCCGTCCTCTTCAGTGTCACACCAACGATCAACCCCTCAGCTGATTCAGCCGTCCTGCATTTTCTTACAGCCATCAGATTTGCTCTCTGTCCCTTTGTAAATGCTGTCTTCCTCTAGATGAAGTCCTATCCACTCTCACGTGGCAACATCCTTCTGATTTTCTAGGTGCCATTGTGTGAGGTCCCAGGGAGCCCTTTCCAGGCTGCCTGGATGGCAGGTCCTCCTCATTTCCCTCCTGGTACCCTATGGACAATGTACATTTGGCAGTCACCCTTTTCCTTAGGATGTAAGCTATGTGAGCCCAGGGAATGTGTTTAATTCTTCCCAGTACTTAGCACAGAGCTTTCATATAAAGTAAGCAGTTAATATTTGTTGACTTGAATCCAATGGGAGGCTCTGGAAGGGAGCAGTTGTGGGTGATGACAAGGTCTGGCATTTTGTGAGTGGGTAGCTGAGTGTCTCAGAGGACAAGGAGGTCACAGAATGAAGAGGACAGGGTGAAGCATAGGTGGTCCCTGGAGGACACCAGGAGGAGAAGATCCTTGGCCACATGCTCAGTCTTGAATGAGGAGAAGTAGGCAGCGGCAATGGGAACAGGAGAGTGCTCCCACAGGGCAGCAAGTGGGAGTTTTGCAAGAAGGTGGAGGTCTGAGTAGAGCAAGGGAGTGGGGTTGGGGCTTGAGAGTGGGAGATAGAGGACGAGACGGTCCAGTGGCCAGAATGCTGCCTAGCAGATTTGTCTCAGCCGCCTCTGGCAGCCTTGACTGGTCAGGTGATAGTTGACCTCTCCCTGGCTAATAGCTCAGGTCATGAGCTCTCTGCCATGTCACCTACAGCAAGGACACATCAGGGTGGTCAGGTCATGGGGTGAGCTCACCATATTCTGGACCCAGCAACAGCCCTTGGAGTAGACTTCTAGACTTTAAGGGGGATTGCTTATGCCCTGGACTTGGCCACTGTTTTTATCTGAGAAGTTTAGGGCTGTCTGATTCTGTTGAGAGTCTCTGACTTGGGAGAGTCACCCTTCTCTCCTGGAGTAGGAAGTTCAGTAGGCGATATTGTTTCCTTTACTAAGGACAGACACTGATTTCTATATTTTTTTCTTTTTTTTAAAAAAATTTTTATTTATTATTTTTATTTTATGTGTATGCATGTATTGCCTGCATGTAGGTAAGTGCACCCGTGACATGCAATGCCTGTGGGGTTCAGAAGAGGCTGTCAGATCCCCTGGGACTGGAGTTACAGACTGGAGTTACAGTTAGCTGCCATGTGGGTGCTGGGATTCGAACCCGGGTCTTCTGCAAGAACAACTGATGTTCTTAACTTCTGAGCCATCTCTCTAGCCCCTGATTCCTATATTTCTTTTTAAAAAATTTTTATTTTTTAATTTTATGTGTATGAGTGTATTGCTTGCATGTATGTAAGTGCACCTGTATTATATAATGTCTGGAACTCTGAAAGAGCAGCCAGTGCTCTTAACCACGGAGCCAACTCTCTAGCTCCTGATTCCTATATTTCAAGGTAAGCTGCCCATGGATCATAGCAGCTCCTGGAGAAATGATCTTGACTCAACCAAAGCTTCCTACTACTTCCTGTTGGCCTTCCTGCCATTGGGGAGAGTTCAAGCCAGTGGCTGATAGTAGAGTTCAAAGGCCCAGTATCTGTGTCTCTAGGTGGGACCACTCTGTGGTGGCATTTATGACCTCCTCCAATCAGGCAAGCTCCAGGTCCCTGAGTGTACACCCAGTTCAGTTGAGCCCCTCCTTCCTTGAGTCCTTCTTCCATCCATCATGGGCAGGAAATCCCAACTTCTATCTCTGTTTCTGGCGGAACTTGTCCTGAGACAGGTGACTCTGATCCTGTCCTCTAATCAGAGTGGGCATAGAGGCTACCCAGTGGACCTGGAGGGCTCCCTGGCCTATAAATAAACTGTTTAAATTTGGATTAGCTAACCACAAGAATTCAGACAAAAAACAACTTTGCTGACTTCCCAGGCTAGGTGTGGTATGGTTGGCAGAGGGTTCAGATAAACAAGACACAGTTCGCCCCCAAGTGGCTCACAACCCATTTACTCATTTAGCAAACATTTATGAAAGGCTGTAGGGACTTGGTGACTCAGCATCCTGCTCTTGAAGGGCTCACAGGCTGATGGGGATACATTTAGGGGTATCAGCCATTCCAACCCATGGAGAGTAGCAAAGCAGAGAAGTCTGAGCTAGGCTGGCATACAGAGTCATGGTGAAGGCTGTCCTTAGGGTTTGGGGGCATGTTACAGAGGAGGTGGGAAGGACATGCCAGGCAGAGGGATCAATATGACAAAGGTTGGAGGCATGTTCACAGCATGGTTTACCTGCTCTGGAAATCATGAATGCCTAGGTGTTATCAGTGGTAAACTGAAGGAAGAGGCCAGGGAGGAATGGCGAGGTCAGTGGAGCCAGCTTTGGGGCAGCGGGGTTGGGAATGGGCATGCTCAAAGAAGTTTTAAAGCCTGGGGAATGACGTGGTCACATTTGAGGACAGATTAATCATTTGGTCCAGGTGTGCAGGGCAGATCAGAGAGGCCCCATGGGAGGATGGACAGAAGGCTGTGGGATGACAGAGGAGGTGAGTAAGAGGCCTTCAGTGTCACGTGGTGCTGTGTGGGGATACCAGGTGTGTGGAGCTGAGGGAGAGAACAGAATAAGCCAGCTTCTGGCTTGGACAGCTAGGTGATGGTGGTGCCCATCATGAGTTAGGGTGCCTCTGTGAAGAGGGCAGCTTTGGCGGAAGAAGGCCGGGCTGGCTGGGAATTGTAGGCTGTGCTATGCATGTGTTTTCTCTGGAAGTTCTCCAGGGGCAGCTGGTGGACTCAGAGGCAGGTCCAGGCTGGAGGAATGGTTTGGGGGTTGTCAGTTAGGAGGCCCCATCCTTGTTTTGCCCTGAGTACCATCTTCTACCCCGAAAAGGGACCCTGTACATGGAAAACCTATGTAGGGAAAAACTAGGGAGCCCAGAAAATGGAAGGCTGAGGCCTCTTGAAGCATAAACATTGTGTGGTTGGACTTATGATCACTGAGAACCAGCTTCTGTGGGCACAGGGTCTCCATGGCTCCCTGCCTTCCTGCCTTGGTCAGTTGGCTGCAGAGTTGTGAGGTCCCTGGTGGAACCCCTGCTTTTGGCATGCTTTTCCATGTCCTGGTAGCACACTTTCTGTGTGTGGGAGGTTGGAGGAGTATGTTTGATGTGCGGATCTGAGGTCAGGGCTTAGATGTCCATTGAATGGCTTGGCTTCCTCCCAGAGGCCCACTTGAACCACCCTTCCCATACTTCCCCACCCACCATTCACCACCTGTCTTCAAAGTGCTGGGAGCATCATATTTATTAAGGGTTTTGAGGTACTGTATTGACAAATATAAAATCTCTACCAGTCATCAAGACCCTGAAGGCTCAGAGTCCAGGGATACAAGGGTGCTTTTCACCCTCTACTAGCCCTGGATGAGTTTCCCGAGTCCCCAAAGCCACCTTCCCCTCCTGCCCTGCTGCAGAAGGTGACAATCCCCTTGCCGGCTCTCCTAGGTGGCCTCAGGGAACAGTCAGGTGACCCTACTTGCAGGTTATGGATACACACCTGCATCAACTGTGGCTGGCCCAGCCTTCCTTAGGATAGAGTTCCCATCTTGGGGGTGACCTCCTTGGGAGATCACATAGGGTGGGTAGGTATCTGGTAGATGATGTGCCCGAGAGGCCTTCCGGCGCCGGGGATGGAAGACCTCCATGAACCTCTTGCCCACTAGGTAGGCAACCTCACTGAGGTTGAGTAGGATGCAGATGGCTGCCGTGATCACCATAAAGTAGGTGAAGACCTTCTTCTCTGTGGGCCGGGAGATGTAACAGTCCACGGTGTGGGGGCAGGGATCCACCGAGCAGGCTACCACTCGCGGCATATCATAGCCTTTGTAGATGCGGTGGAAGATGTAGAGGAAGCCCGAGTCCACAGCAGCCTTGAAGACAAGACTCAGGAGGTAGGTCCACCACAGGCCACCCCGCTTCTTGCTCAGGTTGCTGTAGAGGGAAGGGGCATTGGGCCCGTGTTTCCGGCGGTGCTTCCGTTCTCGCTCCTCCCGGTAGGCCACGTGCATGACCACAAGAAGCGAAGGGCACGTGACCAGGATGAGCTGCAGGGCCCAGAGGCGCACGTGGGACACAGGGAAGAACTCGTCATAGCAGACGTTGGGGCAGCCGGGCTGCTTGGTGTTGCAGATGAAGTCTTTTTGCTCATCATCCCACACCTCCTCGGCCGCCACCACATACACCAGTACCCGGAAGATGAAGACCACCGACAGCCAGATGCGACCCAGTGCCGTAGAGTACTTGTTCACGCCACTCAGGACGCCCTGAAGAAATGCCCAGTTCATGCTGGCTGTGTCCTCAGTGCCTCACCTTAATGCGTGTACACCTGGGTGACAGCCACTCAGGTCCTGGGAGCCACAAGGTTTAGGAGAACCTGTAAATGGGCCTCCTTGTAGATGGTGAGAAAACCGATTCACAACCACTGGGCCATTGTGTCCTCACTCATAATGACTTGGAGGAGGAGGGGTGGCCATTGCTCCCATTTCACAGGGAAGCAAGCTAAGGCTGAGAGGTAAGAGGTACCTGCCCAAGGTCTCACAGCTACAAGTAGCAGAGTTGGTCTTGAACCTGGTCTTCAGGTTCCCAAGTCTGTTTCCTTCTAAAAGTAATAAATACAGGTGATGATAAGCACAGTGCATGTACATGCCAGCCAGCCCTTTTCACCCCACGTTTCAGCCATAGCGTCTAGAGATTTCTAAAGAGATGGGATTATCTGATTTCCTATTTGCTTTGGGAGCTGGGCCAGGGCCAGAGGGGCAGAGTGGTGATAGTCCTTTATTGGTTGTCAAATTCCTTCAACTGTTACTGAACCCCGGCCTGGGCTGGGCTCTGTGTTGAGTATACCCACCCTTGCCCCATGGTAGATAGCCTACAGCAGGTTCTAACCTCACTCCTCTGTGCCTCCGGGCAGTTTCCCAGACATCCCTTCCCCAACTAAACACAGGCTTTTCTGTAATTGCTGTGGCGGGTCTCCTTCCCACCTCACTTTGCCAGTGCAGAGCTGATTGTCTCATTGATTCAGTTATTCATCTTTTATTTTCAATTATTATCTTAAAGTCTAGAATAATTCCAATCATTCCAGCTTTGAGTGGGGCCCAGGGGATGGGACAGGGGCTGGGTTCTGGCCTGGTCCCTGCCTTGCCATTCTCTCTCTCTCTCCCCTTTTTCTTTGCCTAGTCAGTGAATGCTTGCTAGTCATATCTCTCATTGTTTTCATGAGAAAACAATGTCCCGTGTACCCCAGCTTTGCCACCCCCTTATCTCAAGTGTCTGTCACGGTCCATTTCAAGCTCTCTTTCCATAGTCCCTAATTCAGCATCCAGTTTCTATAGCCAACATATCCCTAAAACACGTGCTGAACCTTCTCTGTCTTCCATGGCAGGATGTAGCACATGTATTCCACCAGTCTGTTCACCTGTCTTTTTGGCCAGACTGCCAGCGGCTAAAACCCAACTCTACATCTATTTCCTGGGACCCAGATCCTTGCCAGGCCCCACTTACTCTTGGTAGATGTTTGTTAAACTGTATTGCAGCCCCATTTCCCCCAATTCTTCCTCTTTGATTCTCTGGGCTCTCTTTGGTCTAGCATGGTGTTCCCTTCTCTCTTTGGATCTTCCCCAGCGTTCATCCAGGGACCCTGCCCTCCCCTGCCCCCGGTCCCTGAAGTAGGGAAGTTTCTGGCTAGAAGTCCCCTGGGACCTTTGCCCCAACTATTTCTAGCTCTATTTAGTCCTCACCCTTCTTGAGTCCTGCGAGTCCTCACTCTCCGTGCCAGGCTTGTGTGTCTGCCTGAGGGCCTCCTGGAGGCAGCTTTTGTTCCTCAGTCCCCAGTGGGGTGGGGCTTTCTGAGCCAATGAACCAAGCGAGAGTGATCCGGTGGGTGGACAAGCCAGGCTGATGGACTTCCCCAGGCACACACACAGAGCAAACACTGTGGCTCTTCTCCTCTGGCCCACGCCTTGCTGTAGCCTGGCTGGGTCGGCAGGTATGTGGGTGAGACTACAGTGATATGCGTTAGGTGTCTGCTGCCATCATCGCCAGGTCCAGGATGGTGGCAGTGACATGGACCCTATCCCTTTCCCCTTGCCTCTCCTGCCATGCCCTCAGGCAGCTGGTTCTGAGGTTTTCCACAGCTGATAACTATGGAGAGGGACACCTCTGATTCAGCCCAGGACCGTGTGATACCTTGCTGGCTATTTCTGGGGACTAGGTCTTAGGTGTTGGAATAAAGATAAGACAGGCTGGCTGGGTTTTCTAGACCAGGGCACCTGCTGCCCTAGTGGAAACAAGGAATGCAGGCTGGTGACAGGAAATACTGCTGTTGGCATGGGGCCAGGCATAGCTTGCTGTGTGCCCTCTGTGGGTCTGGGCCTGTCTGCTGCTGGAAAGACCTCTGGGGAAGCTGGAGTATGGACCAGCAGGGGCAACAGAGGGGTATTGGGCCTGTGTCTGGCAGGGGCAGTGAAGGTTAATGTGTACCCAGGGAGGGCCTCTTTGCCTCATTTCACACAAGCATTTATTGAGTACTTCCTAATAGCTGTGATTCACATGTATGTGGCCTTTTTGGGCTGGCTAATCCTGAGCACAGCCAGGAACTCACAGTGACCCCCACAGGCTAGGCATTAGTAACTCATTTTGGAGAGGAGTTGAAGTCACCCAAGTTCCAATGCAGCCATGCTAACTCCAGAGTCCGGGAACTTTCCACTGCATCATGTGGTTCTCCATGTGCCACACTCCATGACCTCTGCAGACATGCATGACCCAAATTTACAAACTGGGTGAAAGGCTAGATTTGGGATTGTACCCAGGAAAAGCTAGGAGCTCTGCTTCTGGAGGAGAGGATGGCCCCTCACCTGCCTGGATCAAGTACAATGTCCCCCTTTGCTGGGACAGGGAGACTGACACAATGGCCTAAGGAAGGCCACAAAGGCAGAGACACAGGACACCTGGACTCTGAGAATACAGTCACCTTTATTAAGCCCTGACCCTGGACTACACACATGGAAAGGACTTGCCATCTGATCCCCCATGAAACTTCTCTCAGCCCTGTGAGATGCTCCTCAGTGGTTCAATTAACAGAAAAGGAAACTGAGGTTCAGGGCAGAGGGGTATCTTGGTGAATTCCACAGGTGGCTGGGGCTGAGGAACAGAGCTTGGATCCCAAGCTGTGCCAATTCTTCTTCCCTTTTGCCTGCCTCCAATTCATAATGCAGTGCCTCGTAACTTAGCGCTTCCCCCCACTAGATACACACGAGAGCTGCTAGAACCTTCCAATCTAGGCCCACCCTGCCAGTCCAGGCACTCCTTACAGGACAGTTTTCTTCACGTGGGCTCGGGGGCGGTCTGGTAAGAGAGGAGGGTGAGTGTCTGAGCCCAGAAAGATGAGGTCGCCTGAAAGGAAGTCCTTTTGTTTGCCAGGAGAGGAGACCCAGTCTGGGTAATGCTCTGGGTGCACAGCATGGGCTTTTGTCACTTCTAGGCACTCGGAACACCGCTTGATCACCAGGTAGGTCACCTCCATGAGGTTAAGCAGGATGCAGATGACCGCTGTGACCAGCATGAAGAAAGTAAAGATGTTCTTCTCTGAGGGCTTGGCAATGAAACAGTCCACTGTGTTGGGACACGGAGCTGCGTGGCACTTAACCATAGAAGGGAGGGTGTATTTTGGGTAGAATGAATGGAACAGGTAGAGGAAGACAATGTCTACGCTGGCCTTGAACAACAGGCTGCAGACGTATGTCCACCAGAGCCCACCACGCTTCTTCTCAGGGTACAGATAAAGGTGCCCTCCCTCTTTGCCAACTGCCTCTTGATACTTCTTCTCCCGAGCCTTGCGGTAGGCCACGTGCATGATCACAAGCAGGGAGGGGCACGTGACCAGGATGAGCTGCAGCGCCCAGAGGCGCACATGGGACACAGGGAAGAACTCATCGAAGCAGACATTGGTGCAACCTGGCTGTTTGGTGTTGCAGTCGAAATCCTTATGGTCATCACCCCACACATGCTCAGCTGTCACCAGGTACACCAGCACTCGGAAGATGAAGACCAGAGTCAGCCAGATGCGCCCAAAAGCTGTGGAGTACTTGTTGACCTCTTTTAGGAGCTCCTCAAAGGCAAGCCAGTTCATGGTGAACTCAAGGATTGTTTGCTCCTGCAGGAGAACAAGGCAATAACTTCCCACATTATGGAATACTCAGTCTAAACACTTCATAGAAGTGTGTCATTACAGGACTCGGAGCTATGATTATCCCCATTTTACAGCTGAGCAAAACTGAGGCTCTGGGGCTTTTATGAAGTTGTATGACTAGTAAGTGCAGAGTTAACATGTAAGCACAGGTGATTAAGTCAGATGCAGCTCTGCTCATAAAAGTGGGTGGGTGCTGATGCAGGCAGCCAGTTACCTAAGAGTCCCTGAGCCTTGCAAGGGGTAACTTCTTTCCTTTGTGAGCACCACTCTCCCCCCTCAGACACCCTTTCTCAAAGGGGAACCTGTTCTCTGTCCTTTCCTGGCTGGGAGACAGAGCTGCAGATATCCAGCTCAGGTACCACTCACCTGAAGGCAGGACAATGGAGTAGGGAGCCATGATACTCTTTCTACAAGAGGCTTCCTAGAGTAAGCTGGTGGGCCAGCATTTCCCAAGCCAGTGTTCCATGGAACCCTGGTTCATATAGGCTGGTAACTGAAGCCGTGAGAGAAAAGGGTTCTGTGGTCAAGAACAAGTTGGCCAATACCTGGTTCAGCAAAGTTAAGTAGCTCCCTTTACTCAACCATGCTAATAAATTAACTTTGTGACTCAAAAGAGAGACAAAATAGGTAGCATCGCCCAAACTTCTCTGACCCCAGAACCCCCTTTCATCCTGACAAAGCTTTGATCATCTTGTTAGAACCGCCTTGTCAAAACACCAACACAGAAAATGCTGTTCTGGTTGGTTCTGCTAGTGGATGAGGTATGAGGGATCCATGAAAGCAGTTAAATCTCCATTTAAGCAACACGGTGCCCACTTCCTCACTAGGGAAGTCCTCCGCCTGATTCGTGGGGTAGCGGGCTCCACTGAGGTCCAGGCACTGTGGTCTCACTCTGATGTGCACCCTTGAGCCTCATACACTAAGGGGTCATGATGTCCTTCCATGTGCTGAATGGGAAGTCACCACCATCCTGACCTTTGAAGGATCTATTGCCAGCTCTGAGTGTTTATGCCACAAAAACATTTTGCATAAATAGCATTAGACCTTCACAGCAAGGAGTATAATAGTCTTTGTTCTCATTGTAGGTCAGAGTTTAAACAATTCCCTTGGCCTTACATAGCTAGCAAGCAGTGGAGCTGGGACTTGAACCTAGGCAGGCTGGTTCCAGAGTCCACTCTGCAAACTGCCCAGTATTGGGTTGGAGCCCTTAAGTGAACTGCTTGCTCTTCCGTGCACTTCCATTCTCTACCTGGAGGATCTTGGCTAAGGGGGACCTGGTTGTCTCTATTCCCCACCCCGTTTGTCTATACCACCCACCACTTGGCTTCGTGGCTTTGCTTTGAGTCACTGGCTTCTTTCCTCAGTCCTGACTCAGGTGGGTGGAGCTGGCAGCTTCTTCGGAACAGGCAGGAAGGTCAAACCTTACCCCCAGGGCTCTGCAGGGCGGGACTCTGCAGGGCGGGACTCTGCAGGGCGGGACTCTGCAGGGCGGGACTCTGCAGGCCCAGGCAGCACTACTCCATCCAAAGCTGAGCTCCTCCCCGCTCAGCCCCTTTCCCACTCAGTTCCAGGCATCCACGTTTGCCACCTTTGCTGGGTGAGGAGAAGAGGAAGAGCCCAGAGCAGAGACAGAGGCGTATTCCCCTCCACCACCTCCCTCCTGCCCCCTCTAGAAAACTCTTCCCTGCCAGGTGTGCGGACACATCTGGATATAGATGTCTTTACCTGAGCATTGACTCCTCGGGACTCTCCAGTGCCGCTCCTGGAGGTCAGCAGTGGGGTTCAGCAAGTAGCAGAATTCATGTCAGAATCAGGGAAGGTTTCTGGGAAAGCTCAAACTTGGGGCAGAAGCTGCTGAGCAGCCCAGGCGTGTCCGGCTGGCCAGGGAGGAGGAGGAGGAGGAGCTTTGGGCTTTACTGCCATTGGCTGGGCCCCAGCCTCTCCAGACTGCCACCCAGGAGGCTTAAGAAATCATCTTCTCAGGAGAAGCCCCTGCTCATCCTCCCACTCAGGTGTCTGCTCTCTCTCTCTCTCTCTCTCTCTCTCTCTCTCTCTCTCTGTTGTCTGTGTTTGTTATGGGAGCAGAGTCCTGCCCTCCTCTTTCCTCTTCCAAAATTCTCCAGGCCACCTCTTAAGAAGTGGACTTCCCCAGCAGAGGCAGGCAGATCTCTGCGAGTTCAAGGCCAGCCTGGTCTACATCGTGAGTTCTAGGCCAGTTGGGGATACTGTCTCAAAAAGACAAAAAAAAAAAAAAAAAAAAAGCAAACCCAACTTCCCAGTTGGAGCGGTGGATCAGGGTTTAAGAGCACTGTCTGTTCTTTCAGAGGACCTGGGTTTGGTTCTCAGCACCCACATGGCAGCTAACAACCATCAGTAACTCCAGTTCCAGGGCATCCAACACTCTCTTCTGACCTCCATGGGCACTGCACAACAAGAGTGCACTTACACACATGTAGGCAATACACTCATACACAGAAAATAAAATTAAGTAAAATATTAAAAAAAGAAGTGGTCTTCGAGGGCTGATGTCAGTGTTCTCTGTCTCTGTCTCTGTCTCTGTCTCTCTCTCTCCTCTCTTTCTCTCTTGCTTCTACCTGTTCCTCCATTCCCACACTGACTCCAGCTGCTCCACACCCCCCAATTCTGTCTCTATCTCGTCACCTGGCTGATTTCCTCTAATTGGTCGAATTGGTGGAGAGGTCCAATCTGGGTCCCATATCCTTGCAGCCAAAAGCCCATACCCCTGCATCTGGACCCCACACCCCTGCATCCAGGCCATGCACCTTTGCATCTGGGCCTCACATCCTAGATTTGAATCTCTCCTCTTCCAGGTCTTTTGATTTTGTGTGACAGAGTCTCTTGCTATATAGTCTAGGCTGGCCTTAAACTCCTCCTGCTTCAGCTTCCTGGATGCTGAGATTACAGGGGTGCTCTCCTATGCCCTTTCCTTCTAGTTTTTGATCCCAGTAATTTGCCTGTCCTGTATGATGGGACATCCTGCTCTGAAAGGGTTGTTGTGGGAAGGCAGTGCAGTGCAGTGATGGGGGCACAGCTGTGGTGCAGTGAGGGAGGCACAGGTGTGGTGCAGGGTTGGGGGCACAGGTATGGTGCAGTGAGGGGACACAGGTGTGGTGCAGTGTTGGGGCACAGGTGTGGTGCAGTGAGGGAGGCACAGGTACGGTGTAGTGAGAGGGGCACAGACTGTGTATCCTGAATCTGCCGCTTCTTTGTTGTGCCAGGCCTCAGGTTCTTATCTACAAAGTGGAAAAAGAACAAAATCCCCCTCCTACTGGGGTGCATGGATTCTCCATCCTTGGATTTGAACTTCTTAGAATAGGGTCAGCTCTGGGCAGCACTTTCTGCAATTGCCTCTAATGGTGGGTACTCAAAAAAGAAAAAGAAAAAAAAGAAAAAAAAAAAAAAGAAAAAAAGCTGCTTCTTTCTGTCTCTTTCCTTATCTCGATGCCTTTTAAAATGAGATATGTAGAAGGCAGAGGAGAGGGGAGGGAAAGACAGGCACACTGCAGAAAAATCTCATTTGGATGGATGTTGAAAAGGCTAACTCTGGGTCAGGTGTAGGTAGGTGAGTGAGGAGACAGGGATGGCCTGGGGAGGGATTCTCTGTGTACAGACACAGTCTGGGGGGTTAAGCAGCTTCTGAGATACCCCAAGTCAGCAGGTCATCAGGGCTGGAGCTCAAGTGATGGAGTGTTCAGAGGGGCCATAAAATGTCTTCATAAGCACACAGTGTGACCCCACATGCTTATCCCCCACCCCAAGGCCACATGTGTGGCACACTGGTGCTCATCTATGAGGAAGTGGTTTTATTTTGTTTTACCTGGTGCCTAGAATGGTGGCTGATGCCAGTGGATGTTCCAGGAAACGCATGTACTCTGTAAGGAGAGCACACACGGCTACACCTTTCACACTCTTCCCTAAACAATAGCCAAGTACAGATGAGGAGACACAGTGGATTAGTTCCATTACTGTGAGAAGGGTTCCAAGACACAGAAGGGAATGAGTCATAGAGGTGATACTCAAGCTGGGTCTTGAAGGATGGGTAGGAGTCAACCAAAAGGCGATGAAGAGGAGAGACCTTCAAGGAGGGCACAGCTGAGGCGGGTACCGCACAGCTAGGTGCCATGGAGGTCAGTAAAGGCTTTGTGGATGGTGAAGGATGTGGAATGTCAGGCCAAGGAGTTTGGATTTGTCTTCTGTGCTGAGGGAGGCATGGGAACTCTAAAGGAGGAACGGGTGGTGTTGGTAGTCTGGTCAATCCTGATGGTTATGTTGTCACCATGAATGCCAAGCTAGCAAATAGTGGCACTGCCCCTAGGGGAAATGCAAGACTAGACTCTAGATGACCAGGGAATTCCCTTATTTTGGATATGTTTTGGTTTCATTGGAACTTACGGAGTATAGTTTGAGGATTCATCAACAGTGAACTGAGGCCCAGCACCCCCATCTCATGTCTGGATAAAGCTTATTTGCAAAACATCTCTCTTAGAGCACACCAAAGGCTTCTTGTGCCTTGGAGAATTAGACAGCATCTTAACTCTATACTTTGAGCCATTTTTAAATAGCAAAATCACCAACAAAACCCACAGAAATAAAGCAGAGGCTATAGCTCAGTTGGTCAAGTGCTTGCCTAGCGTGCATGAAGTCCTGGATTCTATCACCAGCAAACCGGGCATGATGGTGCATGCCTGTAATTCCAGTACTTGGGAGGTGGGGACCTAGAGGTCCTCTTTGTGTAATGAGTTTGAGGCCAGCTTGGGCTAGATGAGACCCTGTCTCAAAAATAAAACAAGTGCCGGGCGTGGTGGCACATGCCTTTAATACCAGCACTTGGGAGGCAGAGGCAGGCAGATCTCTGTGAGTTCAAGGCCACCCTGTTCTACATAGCAAGTTCCAGGCCAACTAGGGCTACAGGGAGACCCGGTCTCAAAAAGACAAAAATAAAACCAAACAACCCAAAAAACAATACAACAACAACAAACCCCCCAGCAAAATGGGCAAAACAAGTGCTACTGATCTTCGATGTGCAGTGTTTATAGGAGATCCGAGAGAAGGCAGAGTTGGCTCATCTGATTTCAGCCCTGGGCAGCTCAAAGCTTTCACCCATGTAAATGGCCACAAAAGTGCCTGAAGTCTGCGTTTTTGTGTTCCAAATGCATTCCAATGAACAAATGAATTCACAGTATGGAATCTGTGCCTAATGCAGACCAAACATGTATGTGAGTCTCCCCTGATGGAACGGAGAGGCTGTCTGGAACCTGTCACAGTAGTGGCTCATTCTAGAAGAGTGCTGCATTTGGAACACAGCCGGTAAGTACCCCTGGCACCTTTGGCAGACTCTGTTTTGGTGATCAGGACGGTGGTGAGGCCACTGACAGAAAGCAGGGCTGCAGGAGAAACAGGCTACTTGAGAAGCCAGTGGGAAAGGAGGTGCAAAGGTTCCCACAGACCCTCCTGGAGCTGGGCTCAGCAGGAGCCACGTGGGTGGTCTGAGGCCAGCAGGTGGTAGTACTGGATGGCCCACAGGGCAGCAGGAGCCACATCACCAGAGGAGTGGGGCAGACAGGGTTCTGGGGAGTACTTGTATTTTAGGGAGCAGGCCGAGAAAGAGACATCTGTGGAAAGAGAACTGTCAGGGATGGAGAAGGAGGGTCAGCAGGGGAGAAGAGGCGACCAAGAACCGGAAACAGCAGCCACAGAGCACCCTGGGACTGGCACCAGAGTAATTTCAATAGTGTGGTGGGGACAGAAACTGGAGGGTGTGGATGGAGAAAGTGCAAATGTTCCCCCGCAACTTTTTTGAAATAGGGTCTCCCTGTAGCCTCAGCTGGCTGGAACTCACTATGTAGACCAGATTGGCCTCAGTCTCACAGAAATCTGCCTGCCTCTGCTTCTAGAGTGCTGGGATTAAAGGTTTGTGCCTACACACCTGGCTGGTTCCCCTTCCTTCCTTCCTTCCTTCCTTCCTTCCTTCCTTCCTTCCTTCCTTCCTTCCTCCCTCCCTCCCTCCCTCCTTCCCCCTCCCTCCCTTCCTTCTTTCCTTCTTTCTTTTTCTTTTAAATATTTTATTTACTATTCTTATTTTATGTATATGAATGTATTGCCTGCATATATGTAAGTGTACCCATGTCATGCAATGCCCTCAGAGGCCAGAAGAGGGTGTTGGGTCCCCTGGAGCTGAAGTTAGGATGGTTCTTAGCTGTCATGTGGATGCTGAGAACTAAACCTGGGTCCTGTGGAAGAGCAGCCAGTGCTCTTAACCTCGGATCCATCTTTCCAGCCCCCTTTTCTTGATGATTGCAAGGAGAGGAGAAAGGCAGGGCTGTGGGTGGGACTTGCTTCTTCAGGGGAGAGGGAAAGAGATGCCCAGATGAGGGCAGGAGCCTGAAGGAAGGGCTGTGTGACTTGGGGTGGGTGTCTGGTGTCACACCCTTCTTGGTCTCCCTCCCCCACCATGCTAGGGTCTTCCTAGTTCTGGCTGTCTCTCTCTCTCCCCTAATCCTCAGCCCAGGCTTCGTCACCATCTATGCATTCTTCTGCTTCAGACTGACTTGCTCTCCCAGCTCCACCCCTGGAGGTGGTCCTGGTCTTCTTGTCTGCCCAATCCTGTTGGCCTCCTGCCTGTGGTTTGTGTCAACACATGGGTCAATGTGAACTGTGTTCTGGAGACTGGAAGTACCTGAAGCTCCCTTGAATGCAGCAAGCAGGGAGGCATGGGTGCTCCCCAAGGACAGTGGCCTTTGCTCATTGTGCCCATTTCCTCTACTCAGGATGGCAGCCAGGACTGGAAACCCACGAAACATAGCAAGGTCAACTTTCTCTGGGCCAAAGCAGGTCGAATGTCCTATATGTGTCATATATGTAGCAACCCCCCTCTCT